AAAGATTATCAAAAATGAAGGGGAAGGGAATGTGTTATGAGCTTACAAACAAAATTGCTGCACATTTTCCTATATATTTTAGTGGTTTTAGATTTGTAATTTGTTATTTTTTTTCTAAATAGATTACAGATCCTAATATTGATATCTACATGATATCAAGCCTCAGCAAAATTCTGTAACAGGAAATGTACTTTAATAATAGCTGAAAAAGAATGAAATTACTGCAATCATGCTACAATAAATTTATTTTCCTTAGAAGAGCCAGCTTTGTACATCAAGATAATTCTAAAAGCTGTAATGATATTAGCAAGAAATGCTAGATTTCACCAAATATCCTACAATGCCCACGTGAGTAAAATGATGCCCAAGGGGCTATGTGATTGTGGGATAATATAATACAGTTATTTTTCAGTTGATTGAACAATTCACCTTGGTGTCAGCCTGGTGAGGGTTTCCAGTAATGGGTCTCAGGCTCTTTTAGTAACAGTATTCGACCACAGATAGAAGTAAATTTAGGTTGCAGGGGGCCTGAAGCTTACACATCTAGGAAGAAAGGGACAGCAGAGGTGGAAATGTAAAGTTACAGTGGAGAGTTGGGTATGAAAACTTATTTAGAATGCAAAATGAACTCACCAAAAAATTGCAAACTTTTTAAAAGCTAACACTCCACAAGTATCACATAATCTAAGAAATGCTGTGATATTTTCATTAATTCACTGCCTGACAGACCTTTATGTCTTTTTCCCTACAATGTGTCCCTAAAAATGGAGACACTGTGAAAATTGTATGAATTTTAAATGCTTTTCAATATATATTAGTGTCCAAGGCAGAGATAAATTATAAATGCAAAGTTTAAATGTAATGTTAAAATTTATACAGGACTACGTAAGTTACATGATATATCATAAGTATAAAATTTCTTTTAACATAAAAATAATTTTTAAAATAATAATAATAAATGCAGAAACTAGGTTTGCTGAGCCTTTGCTTTGATAAAGAAAGTTTAGATTAAACTTAATTTTGCATGCTTCATTTAATAAAATCATATTTGGTATAAGAAATATTACTAATATTAAAATAAACTATGGCTTTCAGTTCACAAAGTGCATTGCCTGTCTGGATAATCAACTGTATTTTTCTAGAGATCATATTAAGCAAATAAGCCTTATTTAATGTGTGATTTAAGAATACAGGATTTAATGATAGGCTTCTTATTAGCATAAACTAATTGATTTAGCAAAGTTTCATATAGTAACTTAAAACAAGTAAATATTCTGAAGTTAGATATTTATCCATAATAATATATATCGACCATGAAAATTAACATCTGTTCACATGCACAGAATTTCACAGAATCTTGAGTACAGATAGTGGTAAAGAAAAACAAAAAATCATAGAGTAAACTCTATAACCTAAATTTAACTTAGGATATTTGGAGAGCTGGCAATTAACAGGAAACTACATTGAGTTCTGCAAACACTCCTCCAAGCATGACATTTTATGTATTTGTACATTGTATGAAAAGGCTCCGAGGAAGGCAACTAAATTTTTACAGCACCATCAGGGGAACTTCATTCTGATACAAGACAAGCCAAAAGGTCTTGGGATGGCTGAGAAAACTTGATGGGATTTCAGTGGTGTGGCAGGACATGAGGGGCCTGGGGTCTACCTCTTAGAGTCTGTCTGCTCACTAACCCCGCCTTTGATCCAAACATTGCTGGTGATAATTACATCCTTAATATTTCATTTGTTTACACACTAGGATTTTTCATTATTTTGTTTCAGTGAATTACTTAATAAAACAAAAAATCTACAAGGCACCCCCTTGTAGAGCAGGTGGGACTCAAAATGCTAATAGACAGCGTTCCAATGGACTGGATGAGCAGTTCGCAGCCCATCAGCACATTCCAAACACCAGGGAAGATTTTCATAAAACTGATGCCCGCACTCCATCAGTATCTCTAATACTGGATCCCAGCATCATGAAAAGCTGCCAGATGATTTACACTTGAATCCAGAATTGAAAAATTAGAGAGTAAAAATAATGAATGTGCTCTCCAGGTGACTGAGGATGGTAGAACAGCAGTAAAGTCATTAACTTATTTTGTTATACTATTTAGAGTATAGTGGATTTAGAAAAGGCAACATAGAGGCTTGCGAATCATCCCACTGACTCTTGGGATTCTCAGACAAAGACGCCCAAATAAATAAATAAATAAATACCATAGGGAGTATACCCACTGGGGGCAAGAGTAGAGTGCACAGGCTCCTTGTAAAGGGGTAACTGGTGACTGTCCTTTAGCTCTTGTCAATCATTGCTACACAGAATGTGAGTATTTTAATTTTTCAAGAGAAATCAGGTAGTGTGTGTGTGTGTGTGTGTGTGTGTATGCTTTGTGTGTGATGTGCTGACTTAAATGAGAGTTCAAAGAAATCTACAAAGTTGGAAAGACGATGCCCAGCCCAAAACTCAATTCTAAGACCTGGAACTGCCAGACTGGGGGGAACCCTGTGGTGTCTGCAGGCTCATGAGCTTCCTGCCTGAGTTGTCAGTCCTCTACCCAGGACCAAAATGAACAAATTTGACATGGAACATGAGGCGCACAGCAAAAGTAAACATTTTTCTAGACAATCATTTATCCCATAAAAATATTACTTCACACTACTATTAAAAAAGAAAATGAGCACTTACTTAAAAACCACATTAGAGTCATTTAAAGAGATGTGAGGTCATAAAATTCTGTTCTAAAAATGGACACATCAGCGGAACACACATCTCACAAAGGATATCCATCAGACTTGTTCAAGAATGAGAGGGCTAATGTGAAAGGAGCAGATGGTAGCCTATTTTTTATGATGATTGAAATCAACAGATAAGTAATAAAAAGTCTACTCTACTCTTAAGAAAAAAATTAATAAGTTAAAATGTAAAAATTGCATCTATTAGCTCAAAGACTATTTTCAGAAACACATTTTTGAATTCCCAAAGATTTTTATATTACTGTTTATATGTATATATTAAGATAGGATGGGCTCAGCAATGAGGCCATATCGTAGTCCTTGAGTTTACTAACTGCATAATCATAAACAAATGACTTTGCCTCTTTGAATTCAGTTACTAAATAATATAATACATATGACTGCTCAGAAAATTAAAACAATACAATTTAAAAAGTCTTGTGTGTAGTAGGTGTTAAATTAACATTTGGCTTATTGTTTGTAAAGTAATAATCCTATGTGTGTTTAGATTTGATAAATAGCTACATATTCTATGAGGAATTCTGAAATTACTCCTGTTCATTTTCTAATTCTTTCCTATCTCATAAGGTATATTAATTCAGTCTGTAATGTTCATTGAGTTCCAATCACATTCCAGCTTTTGTGTACAGAATCATAGAAATCCAAAAATCAAGTTTCTTCTATTAAAGAATATATACTCCATTCATCTTATTCATCCAACAAAAGTTGATAAGCACCTACTATGTACCAAGGCAACAAAGACACAACTCTAAATAAGACAGAAACTGCTCCTGCTCTCACAGAGCATAAATTATAGTGCAGCTAGTTAAACAACGAAGAAGAAAAAAATAAAGTAGCCATGGATGCTATAAAAATACAATGGGCTCATGTACTAAAGAGTGATTGGGTGGCTACTTTTATTAGGTTGTCAGCCCAGAAAGGGTCCTCTGAGAAAGTGAGGCGATTCTTCAAACAAAAAAAAAAAAAAAAAAAAAGCTAGTTTGGCAGGGTCAGTCTGGGGAAGAGGGTTCCCCATGATGGGAACAAGTCTAGCATGATTGGGGAACATTATGAGGGCACACCAGGTGAGTAAAATGGGAAGGAGAATGGTGTGACGAGAAGAAGGCACATCGTATAGATACTTGTAGGCCAGAGTGAGAAATGTGAATTCTATTGTGAGTTCTACTGCAGGGAAAGTACACACCAATTACAATACTAAGGAATATTAGATGATTGCCAAAAAGGTCAAGTGCCATGGAAGCTCAGAGCAAGCCTGCTAATTCTGCATGCTTAGAGAGGATCCAGAAATGCTTCCAGAGAAATGCATTTGATCTGGCCCTTGGAGAGCAAGTAGTACTCTGAAAACATAAATAGAGTTCCAATAGGCTGAGAAACTGAAAAACGAAGACTAGAGGTATTTAGGAATCTGGGGTGGTTGGTGTGGGAACGTGAAGAAGATAAAGCCAGACTGAGGAAAGCTGTCCTTCATCCATAGACATGGGAGCCACTTAGAATATTGTTAAAGTGCCACCTGCAAAGCTGTAGGAATGTCTTCTTTTTCATTCATTTCATAGCACTACGTATATTAGAGACACTCACAAAATCTCTGGATTTGTTGAATACTAAGAGCAACTGTATCACATGACTGCTTCATTTTTGTTTTTGTACATGAACCTGGAATTGGGCATCTCCAGTCTTTGCATGCATGTATGTATTCTAAAACATGTACAGATGCTTTCTAAGAAAGCAATCTGACTATGCAAATCAGAATTTCTAATCTACGTATTCTAACATGAATACACAAAAATTGTATGTGCAAGGATATTCATTAGGGAGCTGTGAAACTTCCACATTCTACTACTCTGAAGTCCCTGCAGACACATCCATATACTCAGTCAGCATCAAAAAAACAGGAGGTAACTAAGAAATTGCCCAAAAGCACAAGTTCCAAGGTGGGCAATTTAAATCCATGTTTTTCAAACTGGAGCTCATGATCATTAGTTGGTCATAATGTTAACCCAGGGGGATGCCACAACCATTCCATTTTTTCATATTTCAAGGATAGAGTAAAATAGAACAGAACAGAAAACATTACAAGGGATTGAACAGAGTAAGGGCAAGGGTCATGCTCCATAACCATAGTTCCTGTTTTCATAGCTGCATACACAGTAATCTATGTGCCTATTGTGAAGTATGTCTCTTACTTCACAATTTTAAAAATTGAAAAACATTAGTTAGATAAAATTTGGACCAGTGTAAAACCAGACTGTTAATTCTCTCTTTGAATGCCATTGAATGCAAGTGGGAATTTAGTAGGAAAACCCACTCAGGTATATTTGTATGTAAATATTTGTCATCTGTAGGGCTATGAAAAGATCACCCTCTGAACAATTAACTAGACATCTCTGGGGATTATGGAGATGTTATAAAAAGGGAAAGTTTTCATTTTATGTACTATGCACATTTAACACTTTTGTATTCTAATTTTCTTAAACAAAGAAAAAGTAGGTGTATAAGAATACCCTGCCTGCTGGGTATTGGTCAGTTGATATAAAATATGCCAATATCTTTCAGTGAAAAGTCAGTGGGAAATGGAATGGAAGGAAGATGTGTTCCCATCGTGGAAAGCTGGAGGTAAAGTGGCAGGAATGTGAGTATAAAAGTCATTACGCAGCCTATTTGTTTATGTCCTGCCTGATTCATAAAATAACTTGCGACAGGTAGGTATTTAGGCAGTCAGAGACATAGGGGGAAAGCCTGAGAAAAACATCTTAGAAGAAAACTGGGCACTAGAAAGGAAACTTGAAAAATGAAAGGGGAGTGAGACTAAGAGTAGGAGTTGTAGGAAAATCCAGTGCTCATGAAAAATAAAGCTCTAAGGAAAGTTCACCTAATGGCCAGAGGACCCTGAACCATCAGGAAACTGTGGTCAAGAAGAGCTAACACATCTAAATCTGCAAATGTTGAGGGTTCCTGGGACCAGATGCCAAGGACTGGCCAGTTAGGTCCCTCTGTTCGCCATATTGGATGCTTCTAGGCGAAGGCCTCCTCCTTCAGAACAAGACCTGCTGTGTGGATGTGGCATTCATGCTGATGCACAGGGATGGACACACTCAGAATTTGCCTGTCTCCCTTTCTTTATGATTCCATCTTTATGGGTCAACAGCCTCATTTCTGCCTGGCACATGCTTGTGACAGCTATATTAACACCTCCAATTAGATCTCATCCAAGAAGCAGTGTAGCTGATGTGAGGGGCACATAATTGTTAAGTGTTTGCTTTTGGCCAGCTCTCAGGCTTGCTGATACTGGCATAGATGTCCCACTCACTTGCCCTGTCATGCTGCTCCCAGCAGGTTATATGGCCCTTTCCGTTCCCAGGGTGCACTGCTTGAAAAGAGATCATTCTGTGTATTTTGGTGGCTGCTGACTTGAAGGTGATGGCACAGATTTCTTTTTATTGGCAATAATGTAAATTTGAATGGCAATTATACTACCTCTACAGAGTTGGACACAGCTGACTTTCAGGATGCCAAGCTATTCTAGGCATTTTCAAAGGGAGCTGGCTTCCGTGTCCTGAATAATAAGAAAAACATGCAAAAAATGCAAGGCCTTGAGTAAATGCATCATTATTCACTGAAGTAGACCAATGCCAAGCTAAGTCTTTGTAATTTTTGTCAAAGTTAGAAAATCTATTTAACAGTGACAACAGGTAAATTATTTTCCTGACTAACTGCAAGACCACAAATCCTTATATCACTTTACACAGTGAATTACTTGAGCTGAACAAACACATCTTAGTCATATTTGAAATCTCACTGCTCAGTAGCAGTGTTGCACATAGCACATGATTAACCAAATGTTGAGTACAGAAATGGGGAAGCTGGGGGCCTCCCTGATGGCACAGGGGTTAGAGTCTCTGCACTATCAAGCTATGGTCAGCCACTGCAACATGTGTTCGATCCCTGACCAAGGAGATAACCCACATATGGTGTAGCAGACTTCTCCTGTCTTGCCCACTGCTCCCCTCAGCAGTGTATTTCAATCAATCCACCTGTTCTGCTTCCCACTCTGTCTCTGGTGAGTCCTCTCACCACCCCCACCACCCACCTCTGGCCTAGACCCCAGTACTTGTGTGCATAAATAAATAAAAATAAATCTTCAAAATAATACAACTGATCAAAAAAAAAAATAAATGGGGACGCTCCTTAGGTAAGGCAGACAACACAAGACCTGAGTTCATTAATGATTATTGCTTATTACCAGAGAGCTTTTAAATCATTAAAGCCAAAGCTGCTTCTATTGATGAAGTCTTACACTTGTGAAGATTAATTATCCTTTCTCTGGCTTTCCTCCATGCCAGTCATACAGAAAGCTTCAAGATTGTTGATCTCAGTTTTTATTGTATCTGAAATACATAAATTCCCCCATGTGTGAATTATCAATGGTTCATTCCAACATTAGCTATTGGCAGTTTCGCTCAAAGTCCCTCCTAAATCACACCAATGATGCCTGATTTTTATGAGCAGTGAAATCTATTAATTATCTTTTCTATTGCTCCTTGGTATTTTCTTGTGAGAGAAAGAGATCTGTTCCTTTTATAAGTAGCAGGAACACAACATACTCCCATATCCAAACCTAACTCTTTCTCTTTCCGCCCACCTTATCTTCTTTCACAATAGTTTAAAACCAAAAATCCAGATTAAAGTCAGACTCTTAATGTTAAATGCATTTTTACAGAGGCAAATGTCTGTGAAAGAAATTTTATGGGAACAAATGATCAATTGCATTTTTAAAAGCAACTCCTACACATACTGCAGGGTAAATTGCCAAAGGGCTCATTGCATTTCCCACACAAGGGCTGATGGCTAGGGACACTCAAGAAGTGAGCTAAATATTTCAGATGCTTGGGTTTCATAGCTTAGAAGCTTAATTTCAGAAAAACTTTTGTGAGATGATGCAATAGCAGTTTCAGAATAATTGCTGGTATTCAGATTGTTTTTCCTGGTGGGAAATCCCTTAAATGGGACTGTATTTTAAATCTATTATTCAAAAGCTAATTATTCATCTAATTAAATAGAAAAATAAGTGTTTTCCAAATCCTTCCTACTGACCAACAGATTCATACTATTAGCCATATCAGCAGTACTTTTTCCACCATGGGCCAGAAATCACAGTCTTTATAAATTTAAAAATACAACCATTGGGCCTCCCCGGTGGCGCAGCGGTTGAGCGCTGGGTTGCGAAGCTGCCCGCAGCCTCTGCAGCGCCGGTTCGATTCCCGGCTGCTCCCCGGCCACCAGAGGAGGGTCCCACATGGTGCGCAGACCTCTCCTGCCGCCCACTGCTCCCCTCAGCAGTGTACTTCTGTCCTTCTGCCTGCTCTGCTCCCTGCTCTGGCTCTGGTGAATTCTCTCACCCTCCCGCGCTTCTGACTGTACCCAGTGCATGTATAAACGAAACAAACGAACAAATAAATAAATAAATAAAAACATGCCTCTATAAAAAAAAAAAAAAAGTTTTAAAAAAAAAAATAAAAATAAAAATACAACCATTAGAGAAGCTTCCTAAAGCAATTCACAATCCTTAATGAAACTACACAAGTACCTCTTTTGTCTTTGAGTAAGTGGTGACAAGTTCTCAGTGGTTACTGTAAACCCTTTTCCATGCAGATTTTTCCAGGATTACCAGAGGTAATATTAATAGCAATTAATTCAATCCAACCCTATAAACACCTCGCCTCTTCATTTGATTAATTTCACTTAACAGGAAATGAACAGTACTGTTTCCTTACATAGGAGAGCTAGCCATCTTGCTGAAGAAATAAGCTTCTTTCACAAATCAATTTTAAAGCTGCATAGTATATAATACAATGCTCAACAAAATAACAAAATAAACCGGCTCTCTAGTGTGGTGGACCTTAATCTGTTGGACATTAGGATAGATCAGAAGAATCACAATAAAGTGGGGAAAATGCTTGTCCCAGGGGATAGAAGTGGTAAGTTACCACAATGTGATCAAGTGTGTCTCAATAAACCACTGTTCTTACGGCAAGTGATGGAGCTGTGTGAGCTGGGCAAGGAAATGTGGTCCTTCCCTATCAAGCTCAGTAATTCAAAGGAATGGGGCTCTACGCCCTCCCAGACAAAGCTTGGCTTTATATTGCGAGAACCAGCATTCTGAGTGAGTGTGGGTCCCATAGTCAGAGAAAGAGGGAGAAAGGCACTCTACACATGAGATAAATAAATAAAAACAAAGAAATACTATGTCTTCCTCTAGCACCCCAAAAAGAGGACACTTTTAGTCTTTCCAATAAGTTATACATCTGTTTAACAAAGTTTTATTCCCTGATGTTTTTGCAATGGATACAATATGACAACTAAAAATGCTGTTCTTGGGCCTCCCTGGTGGCCCAAGGGGTTAAGCACCACACTATGAAGCAATCCACAGCCTCTGCAGCACGAGTTCAATCCCCGGCTGGACAGGGAGCAACCCACATGATGCAGCAGACCTCTCCTGACTCTTCCGCTGCTCCCCTCAAAAGTGTATTTCAGTCAGGGCCTCCCCTGGTGGTGCAGCGTTTGAGCGCTGGGCTGCAAAGCTGCCCGCAGCCTCTGCAGTGCTGGTTCAATCCCCGGCCACCAGTTGAGGGGCCCACACAGGGCACGCAGACCTCTCCTGCCGTCTGCTGCTCCCCTCAGCAGTGTACTTCGTCAGTCTGCCTGTTCTGTTCCCCGCTCTGGCTCTGGTGAATTCTCTCACCCTCCCGCGCTTCTGACTGTACCCAGTGCTTGTATAAATAAATAAAAAAATAAATCTTTTTTTAAAAAAAGTGTATTTCAGTCAGTCTGCCTATTCTGTTCCCCACTCTGTCTCTGGTGAATCCTCTCATCACATGCCTCCCCCCCACCATCTCTGGTCTGTACCCCAGCTGTCGTATGCATAAATAAATAAATCTTTAAAAAGAAAAAAAAAAATGCTGTTCTTTTTCTTTCACCTGTGCAAACTCTCACCTCGATCATTTTGAGAGCTGTTTTCCTTAAATAAATTGATCCCTAGAGGAACCAATTCTTCCCAATTGTAGTCATTTTCCACAAGTAAAATACTTTCCTTAAAACTTCTTGTCTTTGAATCTCCTATTTTCTCTTCTCACCCCTAGATCACATACCACATAAAGATTTTTTTTTAAAAAAGACTTGATAAACAAACGTGGTGTCCTTCAGGATTCTCCAACAGCACATTCAGAGATGATTTGCTTCGAAGTAGTGCAGGGAGAGGGGGTTCCAAGCAAACAGAGCTCAGTGGAATAAAAGGACAAGTACTACACTATTAAAAACATCTCTTCAGGAAAAGAAACATCTTGAAGTATGTCTGAAACTGTTTCTGTCCAGGAAGCTGAAGCAAATGAAGAAGAATTTGACATGGTAGGGAATTCCCTGAGTCTTTATTTTTTTACTTGCCTTTCTAACACGTACAAGAAAATCCATCTCTGGAAAGGCCTATGTTAGGCACTTCCAAGGACTACATCGAAAGAAGTCTGTGGTACAGAAGTTAGGCCCAACTTGGAACTTTAGGAATTAATTTTCAAATACAAAACACTTGAGATCAATCAGGGCAAGGTATTACTTGACTTAATGAGGTCAGTGGATTAATTTTTCTTCCTTTCCAGGACCAGATATTGCTGAATCAGCCCAGATGCTAAGAACTCTAGAAAATAAATCCTTTCAGGGCCTGAGAATCAAGATGGCATCCTTCTCCTAAGACACAGTTATAAACTGCCTGGGAAAAACAAAATTTTATTGTGTGGTAGGACAGTAAGCCATCCATCAAGTAAATCAACATCAAAAAAATAAATAATAAAAGTCAGGTCTTTTTTCTCACTGTATTTTTTAAATGAATCTATTAGTAAGCTATTTAAAAGTTATATAGAAATTCTAAGTATAATTATAACAGCCTGAACTTTTAGCCATTTCACTTGAACCAAAGGCTCATAATCATCCCATTTAATTAAAAACAACCTCCTTTATTTTTATTTTCTGAATACTGAATATAAACTGATTTTTTTTCAAATAGAGAGTAAAGAGGGAACATAAAAAGGAGAGCTGCTCTTACAGGCAATACTGGTTAGAAATATTCCAGCACTCTTTATGCAATTCCTCACACCCCTCAGTGGTTATTCCCACCCCTATTTATACCCTATTAATCTCCCTTAGTGAACTTCATCTTTCAATTTGGTCACTCCTTAACTTCTCTGAACTCCACCTCTCATCATCTTGCTCCACACCTAATTAGCCTAATGAAAAAACAAAATAAGATTCAGCAAATGCCAAATATTTTTTTTACTTACTAAGTTTTACAATTGTTTTGGTTTCCTGTGTTTTCACTTACATTATCTTAGAATTCAAAGCCTTTATTTCCATATTACATGTCATTAACCACATACCTGAGAATCTTACTAACAAGTTATACTTGCTAGGCTTACTTTATGTGAATTAGACCCAAAAGTCCAGAGATAGGTGTTGAGGAGATCATGCAGTATTTCATAATCATTGTTGGTTTAAATTAAAACTGTTTGGCCTGAGATAGTATAACGCATTCTGAAGGAGGGAAAAAAACAGATTTTATACGGAAAGATAAAAAGGACTAAGTGATTACAGAGTAAATTCTGAAGAACAAATTAATAATAACAGTCATATAATCTAAACCACAATAATGATAGGTTGTACTTTTATAGCACTTAATATTTCTCAAAGATCTTTCACCTACCTCATCCCACTTGATTGAAAGGATGAGTAATTTTTCTCCCACACTAAAGACCAACCTATAAGTAAATTGTGTTCAAGAATGGCTTCATTAGATTTCTAAAATACCTTAGTGGAGATAAAAGAAATAATCAAGCTAGGGAAAATTCCAACTGTGAAAGTTGTTTGATGCTAACACAGGTGTCAAATTTGTTTGGCTTTGTTTCTTGAAGACATTTAAGACTGGGCATGTACCTAACTTTCTGAAATGTTTGAGGTGCAAGTCTATCAATGGAAAGAAGAATGCATGGGTTGACTACACTGGCCAGCAAATAACTCATTAGTAGTCCACATTGTTAATGCAGAGTTGAAGGTCCCTCACCACCCTGAGGCCATTCATCTCACTCTGAAGAGGATCAGATTGCCCTAAACTAATGGTTCCATCCAGTAGTTGGCATGAGAACCTATATCACTCAACATGGCTCCACCATCACTAGCCTTCTTCATTATCAGGATAATGTGTGTAGGTATTGCCCTTTTTCTTTATCCCTTTTATCTCCCTATAATTTATGTTTATCCTAATTTTACCTCTGGGGGATTTATAAAACCCTGTAAGGCACAAGGCAGGCTTTATACTAGCCCCTCTCATCCAAACTAAATGTTTCCTCATTATCTAATAACCTCAGTATCTTAATTTATCAACTTTGAAAATATGTTTGTTTGTCTGTGTGCTCTGAAAGTAGTGGTGTCCATTATGGATTATAATACTCTTCAGTTTTATGAAAACAAAATAGAACATGATTGACACTTTCCCTAAACTAGGCATAGATGTTTATTAAAGCCATCTAAAAAAAATCACCTTTGCTAGCAGCAGTACACTCAGTTCACTTGCACTGCATAACTAAAATTTCCAATCTTTCAAATTACATAAATTAAGGCTTCAGAGCTATGACCTTTAAAAGAAGCCAGAAATTCTATTGATAATCCCCAAGTTCCATTTTTATCTTTATTTTCACCTAATCATATCTAATTAGCACCATTAAATGCCATGTTGGCAGTTCATATTATCTGCATTTTCAAATTAGGGTTTTTCCAACAATCATCTTTCTGTCATTTGTTTATGGTAATGCAGTGTTTTAGCTACATTTTATCTTTAAATATTGGAAAGCCTAAATATGCTTTAGAACTTTGTTATCTTTAAGAAATACATCCCAACCCCCAAACAATAAACCCAAAACGATTTTTGGAAACAACTTTATTTTGAACTGATGATTTACTAAAGGCTTAAACTTACAGGAACATCTTTATTTTCACTAACATTTGTGTTCTAATTAGAGTCACAACATTTCCTCAATCTTAATTGTTTTCTTGCCTTCACTTTCAACCCAAAACTACTTAACTTTAGTATTATCCAATATTTGTGTTTATGGAACTATAAACTATTTTCAGATATGCGCAATTTTACAGATGATGCTTCAGCACCCTTTCCTAGCTTGGTGATGTATGGGTAAACTGTACAACTGGGGTCCTTACAGCAGCTAGCTAAAGTCCAAGGTTCATCACTGAGTTCTCTAAATTTTATCTCCTCATACCTCTCAAACCCATCTACTTTCCATACCCATTGCCATTACCATAGTGAGGTCATCACCATATCTCTCCAAGAGAATTTCACAACATTTTGTAATTGCCCTGTCTCTAATATATGCCCCTTCTGATGTATTTTTCCATTGCAAACAGGGTGATCTTTCCAAATACATAAATCAAACTATGACAAGCTCTGATTTAAAATTCTTCAGTGCTTTTGAATTGCCTTCAGAATTATATTATACACACAAACTAGGCAATGGAGTTACATTAATGGACAAAACACCTGCATGTGGTCAATTAATAAACAAATATGTCAGATACATAGAAAATCTAAAGGTCGTAAATAATACTAGAGGAAAAATAAGGCAGATAAAGGGGAGGGAGAAGATGTTGTGGGCAGGATGAAGAAACAGGAGGCCATTTCAACAAGGTGTTCAGAGAAAGCCAAACTGGCAAGATATCCTTTGAGTAAAGCCTTTAAAGTAGGCCAGTGAGCCAGGCCACCAGTGGAAGAAGATTGTTCCAAAGGAAAGGAAGAGCCCCTGGTGGATTTGAGGAATGAATGACAAAGAGCTGATAGTTGCTGGAATGGAGTCAGAGATCAGAGAGGTGGCAGGGAGCCAACTGTGTAGGGTCTTTTAGGTTTCTGCTCTTTGAGTGATGTGGGAAACCACTTGAAGGTTTCATGCAGTTGTGTCATGGTCTGACTATGTACCTCACAAGGGCATCCAAGACTGTCACTATCTTTGGTCAGGGCTGGCCTTCGCCTGCTACCCCTTGCCTTACACTGGAGTTGCATTTCCCTGAAGGTTTTCACACCTTCACTTCCCTGCCTTAGCTTCTGAGCAGCCTCTGCCTAATGATTTCCCTGCTCCCTCAACCCTAAAGTTAACTTCTTTTTTTTTATTATTATTATTTAAATTTTATTTTTATATTCCCCTTACAATTACACCCCCCTTATTTTGACCCCAAGCCCTCCTTTCCCCGCCCCCCACCCCCATAGAGTGTCTCTGGTTCATAGTTGTTTGTTGAGTCTGATATTTTCTTTCTTATAGTTATTCTTTTTCCTGGTCCCTTATTTAAGTTTTCTAGATTCCTGCTATGAGTGAGGCCATCCGGTATTTTTCTTTTTCTTTCTGGCTTATTTCGCTGAGCATGATCCCTTCCAGCGCCATCCATGTTGCTGCAAAGTGCATGTGTTTATCTTTTTTGAATGCTGAGTAATATTCCATGGTGTATATGTACCACATTAACTTTGGTCTCCAAGACCCCAGAAGTGCAAGTCTCCCTTATCCCAGATGCCCTTCCTTATTTCTCAGCCTGGGTTGGCCAGACCTTGTTCAGATTCCTGAGTGCCCAGATCGCATGGATGATGGCAGCAGCATTTGTCCCCACCTCCAGAACATACACGCAGAGTAGTGGCTGAGAGTAACTGCTGCAGGTAGCACCATCTACACGCAGAAAGTAGTCAGTAAATGTTTGCTGAGTGAAGGGAAAAATAATGATGAAACAGAATAAAGCAGAAGAATATGCAGGAAAATCTTTTTTTTTTTTTTAAATCTAGGGTTCCTCTATCGGGATTTCTGGTCTTTTTTTGAGAACTCGTGTTTACACACATTTCCTTTATTACCTCTCAAATTAAATACTGACTACATTTGTCTGGACTGAAAACTTACGGTGTGTCAAAATGAAAAAGAAAAGCCATGAAGATTTTCTTTGACAAACTTTAGGCAAATATAAACTTTAACACTTATGAGATAAGAGAGACATGCTAGCCTAATTGCCAACATTTTTTAATTGTTAAGTAATTAGAAAATTTTAGTGCTATTAATAAATTATACTAACAGATACAGTCCCAAATGCAACTTACTTGTCAATGGTGACATAGTGGTTATTTCAGTGAAAATAAGGTCTGGACAAACTATGTTTTAACCCACATTTTGAAATCTACGTTCTAAAATCTGAAGATAGAAATATGAAAGAACAAAAACAATGTTTCTTGAGCCTAGATATGATCAGCTCCTGGAAAGAAAAGATTTTTTCCATATTCATATTAATGTCTTCCACAGATATAATTTGAGCTTTCTGGGTGGGAGAAAAAGAGGAACCGTATAGAAAAACAAGAGTATTTTGTGCGATATAAACTGGTCAAAATATTACCGGGTAAGAGTGGCTTCAATGTTCCTTATCAGAACCTGAGAAAAAATTTCCCTTTCCCCCTTCAGAAGAACATGGTGTTTCGTGTCAGATTAAAAAGGCACGCTCTCCCTTTCAACATACATCGGAGGCCCCACTCTTGCAGAAAGGTAAGATAATGTGCTCTCTGAGTAAGAAGTCAAGTACCCACTGCCTTTTGAAACTGCCTGACGAGAATGAACGGCCTTTGCCATCATCTTTTAAACAACTTTGGCCAGGTTTTCTATAAGCACCTCGTTTATCTTGAGGCTCTTTCATCTATTATCTGACTGTAAGCGTGTTCATAGTTCATCAGCTGAATTCACTTGGGCAGAGAAGTCTTATGATG